TCTCTGCCTTACCGTGAGCTTTTCCTCCACGGTGATGGTAAGCACCGCCTTCAGCTGGGTTCGGTTCTGCAAGGAAGCGAGGAAAGCTTAGTCAACCGTGTGCGGAGGCTCGGAGACCCAGACCAGGCCTGCAGGCCCTTCCAACCTGCCCTGCCTGGAGCTGCCGCCGGCCCTTGGGTAGCGGGAGGTGAGTGGGAACCGCAAAGATCTTACAGCCCGTGTGGGGGGATCAAACCCAACCCAGGCCATTCCAACTGACGGAGACGCTACTGACTAGTAGAACTGCCCCCAGGGGGCTCTTTAGGGACGCAGGCCACCTCAGCCGGTCTGCTAGCACCGCAATGTGGTTGTGAGGTGCCCCCTAGTCGATTCCGACCCATGGGAACCCTGTGCACAACAGAAGGAAGCCCCGCACGGTCTCGGGCCTGAGCCTGACCTGTTGTTGTGGCCACAAGATCAGTCCATCTCCGTGAGGGCCTTCCTCTTTGCCGCTGCCCCTCCGCTTGACCAAGCACGATGTCCTTCGCCAGGGACTGGTCTCTCCTGACATCTTGCCATCCCTGCCTCTAGAGAGCAGTCGACAGAGCCGCAATCCGTCCACGACAGGTCGGTTCATCCTGTAAGCAGTCCACAGTACTGTCAGTGTTCCTCGCCAGCGCCACGACTCAGGTGCGCGGATTCTTCTTCGGTCTTCCTGCTTCAATGTCCAGTCTTCACGAGCATGGAAAGGCGCGGTTCTCCACCTCCGCATGCCGCGGCCCTTTCATACAGTTCCTCGTGTGGTGGTGACCCCCAACCATAACATGATGTTTGTTGCTACTTCATCACTGTCATTTTGTTAGAATTGTCATGTAAATAGCTGATAGGCAGAATGTATTTTCATTGTTACAAATTGAACATCACTAAAGCATAGTGATTCATCACAAAAATAACATGTGATTATATATTGTGAAATGCTTATTTCTAATAACAAATAAGTGAAATTCTGTCTTGCAGCATGGTGTAGCAGTCTTCACACCGGGTACTCATATGTGGGCGTAGCTGCATGTGGGCAGGCCCGTATGGAGA